GTTGTATACTCATCATGTAACTGTAAAACCTTAGGAAACTATTCATGTGATAGTTCCGTAATAACAAACTAATAAAATCTAATCGGCCAAGGAAGTGACCTTAAAAAATAAAAAAAAAAAAAAAATTTTGATATTTATTTAGTTATAAAAATTATTATAAATTATTATTTTGATAAGATTTAAATCTATTGCTTTTTTAAATAAATTTGAGATATAGCAACTAGTATAAAACCTTTGAATAGACTACTTAAAATAAACAATCTAAAGTTATATGTATGGAAAATTGTACTCTTACAATATGTATCATTTCTTATTATCAATACCAATAAAAGTTTTAGCTAATAGTATTTGTATAAAAAAAAAAAAAAAACTTATTATTATTTTAATATGAAATTTTAAAATTTTTTGAAATGTACTTTTTTTTTAAGATTAGATTATAGTTTAGAGTTAGAATTATTTAAAAAAAATACAAGTAGATTTTAGTAGTGTTTATATTTTTAAAAAAAACTTCAAATCTTATTATCACTATTAAAATAACCTAAAATTTTAATGATTTTGAAACTCTATGATCAAATTTTAACGTTTTTGAACTTGTTAAAATCGTTTTATCGAGACAAACACTTAGATAGTAAAATCATTCAAAACGGACTATTAGATCAAAAGTTATTCAAAATTATACAAATTAGCCAATATAAATTTTAAATAATATATATATATATTTGATTATATAATTAAAATTATATAAATATTAATAATTTATACCTAAAGATCTAATTAATTAAACTTTAATATCCAAAGTCCAATCAAAGCCATTAAACTATTGGACATAACAACTCCACTTTAATAAAAGCTTTCCTTAATAAATTTTATTATATAACCTGCTAAAATCTAATCATAATATAAACCTAACTCTAAAGCAAATAAACTTTAAAGAGTTTTTCGAATTTTTTAGATTCGCACTTTTTTGCAGGGTACGCTGGGGAAGTTGTCTTGCAGTGTGCAACACAGGTTATAATAGCTATGCTCAAAATTTTATAAAAAGTATATATTTAACAGTGTATATGTATTTTATTCATTAATTGTTAATTATGTTTAAAGAATTAAAAAGTTTAGAAGTTAAATCTATTTTGGTCATCAATTCAACAAATCATTGAGTGAGATCCTAGTATTACTCCGTTCCTCATCTTTATGATCCTCATAATCCTCAGGATCTTCCCTTTCTTCTTCATAATCCATTGCTTCAATTTCATCATCATCATCTTCTAAATCGGTATCACCTAATAATTGTAAACATTGCGTAAGGATTGCACGGTTTTCGGCTTCTGGTGATTGAATCCTATAAATTGATATTATTAAACGATTTAAATATGGATTAACAATGAAAATTTGGTATAAACAAAATTACCGTAGATCTTGTAAGTTTTCGATTACTTTTTCTCGAAGAGGCATATAGCAAAACATATCAGTGATTCTCGCTATTTGCTGAATACTAGGGTGTGCATATAGGAAGGTACATGAAAGTTTGCCATAACGAATATACATATATAAATATTGGAAAAACAATGTATATATGATCATAAACTTACACTGTTGTTAATTTTGCAGTCTCATTTGGCAGATTTGCAACATATCTTGGAATTTTGTTCAGCAATGACTATTGAAATAATATCAGTATAGCTTAAATAGCTGTGAATTATCTAAATCAAACCCGTAAAATACCTCAACAAACTCTGTTTTAGGCAATTCGACGTTGTTAGATAAATAACTTTTTGACTGTGGGTTTATGGGCATCGGGGATGGCGTCAACAAATTTCTTGCGCTCTCATGAGAATACATTGTGAAATAAAAAAAATCTATTCGAGGACCGGTTTTGATCAATATAATGAATATTAGCGCATAAACTTATTGTTAAATAAAATAAAATAAACATACATGACTCAGAATTGGGTGCTTCTATGGTGGCATAGGTATTATTTTGCAACCAAACGACTGCTACCCGATTTTCCTTTCTCAGCGATGAGCTTAAGACATGAAAGTATTCATTATTACACTTTATTAAAGTATCATGAAGATCAATAATTTGTTTATTATTATTAATTTAAATGAATATATAGAGTTTATTTAATACCCCATTTTCATTAGTTTCGTCATTCAAAAACATCCAAAATCGCAAATAAGTAGACTCCCCTTGTAATGAATCTTTTGACTTAAATCCCACAACAGACATGATTTTTACCAGTTGCTGTACTTTATTAAGGATATAGGATCAATTAATAAAAAAGTATTATGATAATTAGGATTGAGAATATTAATAAATAACTTACCATCATCGTCGATATGGATGATAGGATATACATGTATTGACATGATTATTTTTCCAAGCGAGAGGAAACCCTTATATGGTATAACTTTATAATGATTTTTAAAATTAAGGAAATATGATAAATAAAATCGCAAATTTTACAGTATAAATCAAAGGATACGGTATTTTTCTGCAATCACGTTAATAGCATTCGTAATTTTATACGTAGTGTGAGGATATATTAAGAAATAAAATGCGCCTTCTTTTTCGAGAGTAAATTCACCTTCAGGATGATTTTTAGTAACTCTAGATGGTAGATGTCTGTTTAAGAGTTTTTTATACCTTTGCAATGTATGGCTAGTTTGTTTTGAATGCTCATCTTTGCTAACTTCATCCGCTAAGCAAATGATATGAAGTCGCCAGAAGGGGTTATAGAATTCAGCTGAATAGAACCTTGAATTTTTGGTAAAATGCAGATCTACATATACGTAAACGAATATATATCATATAAATCCCATAAGATTTTCAAAAAATACTATTGTACCTTGTGACATTAGGCCATCTGTAATTACAATAAATTGACACGCCTGGCCAGAACCGAACTTTTCAATTACATAATTTTCTGAGAATTCCAAAGCCACACGTATTTCTCCAGAAGGGTCGTCCGAATGAAACTCCCACCTATATAAAAAGTTGAATCCCATTTTATCGCGTTATTTAATCGATGAATAACACAGTTGAACATACTTATTTAAAACTTCGGTTAATAAGGTATGATCATTAGTAAATTCTTGTAGAATTTTACATCGCGACGCGAAAGTGACAAATGAAATTGTTTGCCACGGACAGAGTTTTAAAAAGTGAATTACTCCTAAATAAATATGATTCTAGTACTTAAACGGCGAATTTAAATGCAGGCCCGATATTTCGTAATACCTGTTATAGCGCACTTCAACTTTGAATCAAGTTGGTTCGCCGGTGCCAACATTGCCTTTGATATGTTTAGAAGAATGACTATCACTTCTGGAAACGACATTTTGGCTTGGAAGTGTACATAGTATAAAGGACATATTTATTAAAAATGCAAATCACGGATTTTTTGTGATCATTCAATCAAATTCAATTTGGTACGTAGTGATAAGATGAACTTCTGTCGCGTTACACCTGATCTTGAAATATAATTGATAATGATAACAGATGAAGGGTCGAAATCGTAATATGATTTTAAAAAATTTTTCCTTTCGCGTTATACAACCAAGGCTACATTCATGTGAGTCTTTATTGTTATATACCGCCTTCTATCCTGCTTTTAATTATACCAATCTTTTTTTTTTTTAGCTTATCAAAGAAAGTTTTCATTTAGTGCTTTTGTTCGAAGCGCTCAGTATGAAAGCACTGTCAAAAACATGTGTATTAATAAAGATACGCGAGTTATTTGCCAAGGTTTTACTGGGAAGCAGGTAGGTTCAAACTTCTGCAGGAATTGTTAAGACATTCTTAATAAATCCCTAGGTTTTATTTTTCTCAATATTATATATTATATAATTGCATTTTTATTCATTTCATATTATTCGCATTTCTTAATACAATACGGTTTATCTTTTTTAATATATATTAGGGCACATTCCATTCGCAACAAGCACTTGAATATGGAACTAATTTAGTTGGTGGTGTTTCTCCCAAGAAAGGAGGTACAACCCACTTAGGGTTGCCTGTGTTTAAAACTGTAGCTGAAGTAAGAATTATTGGTTAACATTTACTATAATTATTTCGCAGGATTATTGATTGATATAAATCCATTTTATTAGGCAGCTCGCGAAGTAAAACCGGATGCATCTGTAATTTATGTCCCTCCTTCAGGCGCTGCTGCCGCCATTATAGAAGCCGTCCAAGCAGAAATTCCGTTAGTAGTTACGATTACGGAAGGTATTCCACAGAAAGACATGGTTAAGGTATGTATTAAACAACTGATTTCATTGAAAAAGATAAAAGTTATATGTATTTAATTCACGATTATTTTTAGGTTTTGAAAGTTTTGAAATCTCAAAACAAGACTCGTCTTATAGGACCGAATTGTCCCGGTATAATTGCACCAGGTGCTTGTAAAATTGGAATTATGCCTGGTCATATACACCAAGTAGGGAATGTTGCCGTAGTGTCTCGATCTGGAACTTTGACTTACGAAGCAGTTAACCAAACTACCCAAGTAAACCTTGGACAAACGTTATGTGTAGGTATTGGTGGTGACCCGTTTAATGGCACTAACTTTATAGATTGTTTGAAAGTGTTTTTGGATGATGAAGGAACTAAAGGTATATTATGATATAAAATGACAAGGTTAATAAAAATTAATGGTTAAAATTTCATTTATTTCGAATTTCAATAGGTATTATATTGATTGGAGAAATTGGTGGTTCTGCTGAAGAGGAAGCAGCAGAATTTCTTAAAGAATACAATTTAACTCGGAACCAGCCAAAACCAGTTGTCTCATTTATTGCCGGATTAACTGCTCCTCCTGGTCGTCGTATGGGTCACGCTGGGGCTATTATAGCCGGCGGTAAGGGTACCGCAAGTGATAAAATTAAGGCTTTAGAGGACGCTGGTGTAGTTGTAGTTAGGAGTCCAGCAAGACTAGGCATCACCTTGAGAGAAGTAAGTTAAAATTTAGCTATTTAATCTTTTGAATTTTTATTTAGTATTGTCATTTGTTTAATTTTATCCGTCGTAATAGGAAATGGAAAAGGCGGGCTTAGCCTAATGTATTCATACTATATTTTATAAATTTATTGTTTAAATATTAAATTTGTAAAATTTCACGTATACTTAACAAGATTTACTTTGGGTTATCGTTATTAACGTATTTACTAATTGAAAGCGAATAAAATTAATTTAATAAAGTAAAAACTAATGTTTCGATCCTATTCGTTAGAGGCTATTCGGATTAAATTCGAATTCGAATAGCAAATTCGGATTCACCATGAAAATCAAATTTTATTTATGCTGTATACCTTAATTGGAGGTTGGCTAAAGCGAAGTGAATGTCGATATAAATCGAATTTAATGTTTTTTTTTAATGACTTAGGATCAACATTAGTATTGAGTGAGAGTTAGAATCTATCAGCTATATTTAAATTGTCTCTAAAATTTTTTACTAATGTTCCAAAGTGGTTAGACTGCCGTTGTAATTTGTTTGGTCCTCGCTGATGTTTCTATTCCGGCAAGGGTATAAAAAACGTGTCATAGAAGTTTATACAGTAATATCTTAACTATAGTATATCGGATATATTACGGATCTATCCGTTTAAAATTATTAATGAATAAGGATATTCGTATCTAATTCGAATTGTCGGATCTATCCGAATGATCGGATTACGATCGAAACACTAATTTATACGTATAACTTTAGATAACCAATAAAATTGTGGTGTTGAAAAAATTATTTGATTGGCTGGCACGAAAATAATTTTTGTAAGGAAAAGCCCCGGTATTATAACGATAAGCGATATAGTCATATTGATATAATGCAGTAATTGATTTAAAATTTTTTTGGTAAAAAATTTACGATTTGATGATATTTTATAATCTAGTACCACCAATGATAGTGCCAATCGGTTATTTTAGCACGCTGCCAAGCGTAAATATAAATCTCATCTAAATCCAAAAACCTTTTTTTTTTTTAAAAAAAAAACAAAAAAAAAACTCGAAAAACCCGAGATCATGTCTTTATTTTCTCGAGTTTCTTTTGGCATATCAAAGGTTTGAACCTTATAAAGAACTCTTGTTATTATTGTAGGTATAACGGATATCATCAGAAGTTAAAAAAAACACGTTTTGACATTATTATTATCGTCATTGATTGCATAGGTTTATATCTATAAACCGGCATCAAGACGAGTTTATCCTACTTCGTTTGCTGGTGTTACTCGGTTACTTCATGCTTCGAAGCCAAAAGTAAGCTTATTAAAGTAATCGAAAAGCAAACTGTTCCTCGTTATAATGTTTTATAAATCAGTCTAAAATGTGGTTTACGAATTACGAATATAATTATTTTATCTATGACAGACTCTTAAAGAGCGTTTGTTTGAATTAGTTCCCGAAAAGCAAGAGGAATTAAAACAAGTCAAAAAAGAACATGGCGCTAAAAGCTTGGGAAATGTAACGGTCGATATGGCTTATGGTGGTATGAGGGGTATCAAGGGTTTAATATGGGAAGGTTCTGTGTTAGACCCGGACGAAGGTATTAGATTCCGTGATTATACCATCAATGAATGTCGAGAACTGCTTCCAAAAGCAGATAATGGTGAAGAACCCTTACCTGAAGGTCTTTTTTGGCTCCTTTTAACTGGTGAAATTCCTTCAAAGGAGCAAGTTCGTGCTCTTTCGGCTGAATTCGCGGCTCGTTCAGCGATTCCATCATTTGTTGAAGACCTCATCGATAGATGTCCAAATACTCTACATCCTATGTCTCAATTCTCGTTGGCTGTCACAGCTCTACAACACGATTCGAATTTTGCAAAAGCTTATCAGACCGGCGTTAATAAGAATGAACTTTGGCAATATATGTACGAGGATGCAATGGATTTGATTTCAAAATTGCCGTACATTGCCGGTAGAATTTATAGAAATGTTTATAAAGATGGCAAAGTGCCGCAGATCGAGCCAGACAAGGATTATTCGTATAATTTAGCAAAAATTTTAGGATTTTCTGATCATGAAGATTTCGTGGAATTATTGAGACTTTACCTTACAATTCATTCTGACCATGAAGGTGGGAATGTATCGGCTCATACCACGGTGATTAAATAAGTTTGTTGTACATAATATTTCTCAATTTCCCATTTAGTCATAACATTTATTTATTATAGAGATTAGTAGGTAGTGCGCTTTCCGATCCATTTCTCGCGTTTTCGGCGTCTCTAAATGGTTTGGCTGGGCCGCTACATGGGTAAGCGTTTATTCCAAAATACATTCTTATTTATAGCTAGATGAATATTTGTATGCTAAGGATTTAGCTTTAAATGCACTTAGTCTTGCCAATCAGGAAGTCGTTCGTTGGATTATTCATATGAGGGATTCTGTTGGTGATTTACCTTCCGATGAAACTGTTAAAGAGTATGTTTGGAACACTTTGAAATCCGGAAAAGTGGTCCCAGGTTATGGACATGCTGTTCTCCGTAAAACGGTGAGTTTTATATGTTCTTAAACTATACTATCGATTAGCGTGATTTGTAATTTATTTAATTTTAGGATCCAAGATATACAGCACAACGTGAATTCGCGTTAAAATATCTCCCAGACGATCATCTTTTCAAGCTTGTATCACAACTTTATAATATTGTGCCCGGTGTATTGCTTGAACACGGCAAAACAAAAAATCCTTGGCCGAATGTCGACGCTCATTCGGGTATATTATTACAGTATTATGGTCTAGTTGAACAAAATTATTATACTGTACTTTTTGGTGTCTCAAGATCTTTAGGTGTTTTAAGTCAGTTAATTTGGGATAGAGCTTTGTATGTATATTTCCTATAAATAATTTGTTCATTTTTTTTTTCTTTATATTATGTTAACACATGACTTTGCCTTATACAGAGGTTTTCCTATTGAAAGACCAAAGTCTTATTCAACAGCATTAATCAAAAAGATGTTTGAAGGTCAACAATAATAAACTATTTCTTCATATTGTAAAATATGCGATAATGACAATTTTAATCTACAGTACTTGCGAATATGTTTAATATTTTATAGACGTGTCTTTTTTTTTAAGAAAATATTGCTTGTACTATTAATCACTCCCAACTCCTACTTAATTTAGCACAATATATATATTTATGCAATATTGTATTTTTTTTTTTAAAACTTTGAGTAAATGAAGCGATTTAAATCATTTAGTTATTTTAGCTTTAAAATTTATAGAATAAACGTCGACGGTTGGAACCGTTTTCGATTACTAGATTTTGTGATAGATGATGTTACTGATTCCAATGCTAAAAAAAAGATTGAGACCTGGTTTTGAATTATATTATAATAATTATTATATAATATTTGACTAGAGTTAATTTATTATATGGGTTGCTATCATTAGAAATCAGGCAGATTAACATTTTAAAAAATATAATGCCTTAACTTTAAAAGCTTATATCTCGATGAATTCTGAAGCTATTTTAATGCTTTAAAAGTGAAAATAAAAGCTCAAGTCTTAAGCTTTATTTCACAATTCATTAATATATAAGTTAGAGGTCTGATCCGGTCAAAAAATGAAACCCGGATATTCATTTGTTCAATTATCCGGATATCAGTCAAAAATCTTGATCGGATCATGCCGAAATCCAAAACTTATGGTCTAATTTTTAATCAGGTGTCCCAGGAATATGAAAATAGCAGTGAATATTTATTAGGAGGACCTCTGGTTAACTATGCCTATAGCAAAATTATCTAAAACTTTATTAGTAAAAATTCAGAGTGATTTTAGACAAAATTGGTTATATCTATTATTATAAATTCTGGGATAGCTGATAAAAATTGTCCGAATAATTATATAAGTTTTGGATTTTTGAACGCGATTCAGTGTTGGCCGATGACCTAAGTCATAACATTTTTTTTAATATGACCTTAGCCATAAAATCATATGACTTGTCATAAGTCATATACGTAGGTCATATTAAATGATACGTAGTAAAAAAAAAAAATTTTGCTATAAATTTTTCTATATTAAAAAGATCAATATTCATTATGACCAAACAGATCATAGAGGTCATATGGGTCATTTAAGGTTATCGGCCAACACTGGTCTAAAATCAAAAACTTATAGAATCGGTATATAATTATTCAGTCAATAGCTGTCCCAGAATTTATTATAGCAGCCGTAAAAAAATAAGATTTATCTGATATTCAATGAATATTCGATGAATATGTAATAGATATTAAATGGTTAATCGTGTATATCATGAATATCCAGATCTCTATATGAGCTTTTAAAGTTAGGGTATTATTTTTTTAAAAATGTTAATCTATTGACGGCAGCCCACATGGTTTTACTCTGCTAGAATAAAAATAGGGCTTATTCTAGATTACGATAGAAGATATAAAATTAGCAAAAATATTAGTTGGTAATTAGATACCGTAGTTTTAGGCCGCTTAAAGTTGATTAGTTAGTTAACGTCAAGATTTAGGCTCCAGGCGCAGGGACCTTGGATTTTTTCGATCTGGTCTTGTTCTAAAATTCTTTCTTATTGCTCTCCAACTGCTTCTAACTCCCTGACTCGTCTTCTTAATCGATTAACTTCACGCAACCTATATTCAAACACATATACTGTATTAAACTATACTAAACCATAAATGAGTACCCTTATGTCAAAGAAAATCCCGAGCCTCTGCCATGTGGTCATAGTATATCAAATAGTCTCCATATATTTTGATCGCATTAAATTATAAAATTGTACGTTATTTACAATTTTTAATGCTAAATTTTTTACGTAAGTTGTTTTCAACTCAGGGTTTTCTTGACATAAGGGTACTGCAATAATATACTTTATATTCTCAGTTTGAACTGCATCTACAACACCAAACAACGGATATAAATTTGTACTATTAGGTAATATAACAAAATAATATTTAAATTATATATATGTATTCAGCTATCCAGTTTGGAGCACTACCTATAATAACTCTTTTACAATCATTAATAAAATAATTTTTAAATCTCAATAATTATATTATATTAATATCTTATTAGCTCTATTTAATCTCTCAAAAAAACGTAAAAATTGAAAATTTCCGACCATATTATGATTAACTTTGTATTTACTATAGTAATCTGATTTGCATTACACACTCTATATAATTTTTTAAAATAAATATATTTTTATATAAATTATTAGTAATTATATATTATAAAATGTTATCTATATATACAAAAAAATAATTTTTTTTCACAATTATTGTATTTTATAAATAACAAATACACAAAGTGACATATACTAGACCTTTATCTAATAGTGTGTTCATGTCTATTACACATTTCAAAAATCTATTTATTATGCCATAAAAAATTCCTGAGTGTAGACCAATGGTCGGAATCTAAATATAAATACTGCATTGATGCTTGTAGGGATGGTTGTAACACTTCACGATCATGACGAAAGAGCCACATAACAACACCCCACACTACAGCTGCAAATATTGAGAAAGTATGTTTTGGTTCACTAATAGTATTGCGCTTAACCGGTAATTTAGCCAATCCAATCATGATTCTTGCAAAGACGTAAAGTACAATCTGTTCCATGTTAATATGTGAAAAAAGAATGCATAAAGATAAATAATTAAGTAAATCAAAATAAATAAATATATTTTATAAAAAAAAAAAAAAAATACCGATCGAAAATCTCACCTGCTGATTAATATTATTATTCTCACCAAAAATAATATACCCACCAATTAACCCAGCTATAAATGAATGACCATTCTGTTCCTTTCCGCCATTAATTTTTTTTTGTAAATACATCAAAGTTTTATATATTGTGACAAAAAATGCAAGATTTTTAGAATGTTGTTTTGTTGCATCAAAGATAAATGTCAGTTTGTCCTTCAAGCTAATCATTAGCAAATCAAATCATTACGAATAGTTATATTATAATTGATAGCTGCTTTTTAAATTTAATAAATTAAAATGAATGAACGAACGAACCTTCCCGGACGAAATAAAAAAGTCATAACCAAAGCATGAGGAAGTCTAACCTTCGCACCATAGACCGCTCCATTACGGAATCCTTTAATAATAGCAAGAATGTCCCGATGCTCCGGTTTGTTGATGAACTGTGTGATAACGTCCGTGTCCATCGTTCGTGTTATGCAATGGGAAGAAAGGAGAGGAAGATATGGGCATCGCGCTGAGGTGCTATGTAGATCAAATCTATATATAGAAGTTCCTTAAATCAGGGCGATAATCTATTAGTCAATCACATCTCATAAATTTATTACATTAAGGTTTTAGATACGTATTAACTTCTGTCTACGTAGTAAAGCAACTTTGTAAATATATATTGATACAGGGGTTAAAAAAGGAGGTAGTTTAATTTTCACGCAACATAATGTATAAAAAACATATCAAATTATTTTTTTAAATGGTCACAGTGCGTGTTAATTAATCAACCTTTCCATCACTATTGATACGTATATATTAACTTAAATTTTTAATACAGTACGTATTATAATTATCTTAACTTTACCGTTATAGAAATGTATTGCTTAATTTAAATTATACAGTCGTGCATACCCCCTAAGCGCAAGTACTACGTATCATATGTAAAACCTCTCTAAACGCTTATAAGAACTCTATGTATTTTATTCTCTATAAGTGCAAACCTCCTCTAAGTGCAAAATTTTAATTTTTTTTTACTATGGTCCCGACGGGATGCACTTAAGGGAGGTGCGACTGTATTAAGTTATAGAATTCAAATTTACATTAACGTTAATATAAGTTTGTTTTATTTTTTTAGATCAGCAGGTGTTTCATACGTACTGTAGCATATCTGTAATGCTCTAAATGGGTCAGGTCAGATTATAGCCAACTCGAACATGAAAATCGGTTTCAAAATTAGTACCGGTACGCACTGATTTCGGATGAAATAATGGACATATTTATTTCATAAATATATACTTATCGTTATTTACTATCTCTATACCAATTTAATTCTTCGTTTAACATAACCCCCCCCTCTCTCTCTCTCTCTCTCTCTTTCTAATTTTTTTTTTTTGAAAAAAAAACATTATATTAACTAATTAACCAATTAAATTGCAGTATTAGCTTTTACTAACTTTATGCTCTCCCCCCACTCTTATGAGTTATGTTAAACGAAGAATTAAATTGGAATTGGGTCAGAATCCCGACAAAACAAAAATTGACTAACACTATGCTAACCCTAACCCTAATGCGGGCTAATCTGTCGGGATTTTGACCGGCTCCCGGCCTAATCAGCAAATCATAAATATATAAAAAAATCAGATTCAGATATTTCTGCAATAATCAGAGTTATGTGTAATGCTATGCTTATGCTTCACTTAGTAACTAATCTAACAAATTTAGAGAATATTCGAATAAAACTTTCAAATAATTATTCGATAAATAATGCGAATAAACAAAACATTCGAATAATTTTCATAGTTTGTCACGTGAAACTTCAGTTATTGGCTATTCAACATTCAATAATTAACTATATATCCGATTCGATAAGGTTTTGATTTCG